AAAGAGTTTCAGCAGCTCGTCCAGCCGCTTCGCGAACTGGCAAGTCATTTTCACAAATCGCCCGTTGCTTGGAAGCTTTTCCGCCGCGCGCAAAGGAAGGTGCTAAAGGAGGAATGGGCCGGCGATGTATCATCAGATGATGATGAGGAGGATTACTCAGGTGTAAGGGAAGAGGATGATGTTGCTGAGTTGCCCGATGATCCTGATGCAGATCTGACGGTTCTTGACAATGAAATGGAGCAGGCTTATCCAAAGCGAATATTGCGTCTGGGGACTTGGTGCCCGACGAGGTGGAACAGCATGTATTTTTTGATTAAGAGGGTGGTTTTGTTGGAGAGAAGCATCCGCGAGTATACAGCAAATGCGAGAATTCCTAGGATCATTATACCAGCAGCTGGGTGGTGCATTTTCAAACAAGTGCTGCCAGTCCTGGAGTCAATACGGGAATTGTCTGAGAGATGTGAGGTGGACGAGTACATAACCATATCAGATGTCCTCTATAATGTTTTGAAGTTGCTGTACGACCGGCTGTATGTCACTGACACCGAGGCACATGCAAAACCTGTGTTGCTTGACTTCGCCTCTGAGTTCACAACGAAATTGTGTGCGGATTGTGATAATGTCAATCTAATATACTGCTGGGCATTAGCGGCGGCTGTGGACGGAAGGAGGAATACATTGCACTGGATGAGGAGGATCTGGAACAACGCTGACGATTGGCCAAATCTGGTGAAAGAATATGACACCCTGGCAAAGTTCCAAGCAATGTTGAAGCAAGAGATGACGGCATTGGTGAGTTCAGTTCGGATTTGTGGCCTTTGCCTTTGTAAATGTGTGCATCCAACTGTGGATAGTTTTGGCCGGTACCAAGTGTCCTTTGTGCCTTTGCATGCACGACTGTGTCTGTTGTGTATTTCGCCTTAAACGGCCGTCTCCTGGGATCACTTGGCTGCATGGGGTGCCTGCTGTTATATCTTGCTTGTGTGACTAACAGCGTGCATATGACTTCTGCAGTTGAGGCACATGGTGAAGGCGCCCGAAGTCCATTCCTCGGGCTCATCATCCGAAGAGGATGCACCACAGGCTGTGCAGGAGAATTGGCTAGACGCGGCATCACCCCCACCTAAGGGACCACTATGTTTCCAACGATCAAAGAGGAGAAGACGGGCCCCATGCTCCCCACTGCACATGGACCCAGTGGAGGCCGAAGTCGAAAGGTGGTTTGATTTAAAATGGACACCAGCATGTGAATATAAAAAAAATGGAGTGCTGGGGATTGGTGGGGCGAGAATCACACCAGCTTCCCCTTGGTGGCCAGGCTTGCACGTCAAATATTAGCAACACAGGTGAGTGGGTGAGTACAACTGGCTATGCATATATACCAAAGTGCCCTTATGTGAAATATGGAGTTGAAAGAAAGGAAAGGACTGAATATCTTTGGTTGTGTTGCAGGTTTCCAACGCCAGAAGTGAATGCTCATTTTCCAAGTTTGGTTCTATTGTGATGCCAACTAGCTATGCATAATGCCACAGTGCCCTTATGAACTTCACAGGCTGAGAAATACTGAGTATTTTTGGTTGTGTTGCAGGCCTCCAGCGCCTGTAGTGAACGCTCATTTTCGAAGGCTGGCCTAGTTGTGACGGCCAAGCGCATGCTTCTCAAGCCCGAGAACGTGGATCATTTGTGCTTGCTAGGGTGGCAGATGGCAGAGAGTGGATGGTCACAGCAGAAGCTAGCGCATCGATGCAAGAAGGGGGGAAGGGAGGGAAGGGAGGGAAGGGAGGGAAGGGAGGGAAGGGAGGGAAGGGAGGGAAGGGAGGGAAGGGAGGGAAGGGAGGGAAGGGAGGGAAGGGAGGGAAGGGAGGGAAGGGAGGGAAGTAGTGACTTTGGAATCCAAAGTTTGGATCACCACCGGTGACCACCCTCGTTGCCCTGGCGTGGAAATTGTGGAGTACCGCCGCAGCGAGGGTGCGGTTACCATAGAGATAGAAGATAAGATATCATGACTTGTAATATTCCGTTGTCCTATGTTGATGTGCACACCTTGAACACACTATGTTGAGTGGTGGATGAACTTTGGGTATCATATAGATAGAAGAAAATTTTATTCAAAAAATGCATCCCAACAAGTACTGCGATTGGTGAATAGACTTTACAGTCGCTGCCCTGGCGTGGAAACTATGGAGTACCGCCGCAGCAACCCATCGTTATATATGATACGTATCACCCGTTCCCAAATATGTTGAGTGGCTCAACTGTGTTCAGAGGTGAACCCTTTCTGCCACCTGCCTCAGGTGTTGTGGGTGTTTGTGTGTCCGCGTTTGGTATTACAACTATGCCGAACCCTTGCTGCAATGGCCGGGAAGACTTGCCATGGGAGTGTGGTACGCAACAGTACCAGCCGTAGCAAGTGGTGCAGGATTGCATGCATATAGTGTATGCATGCAAGTTCCAGTTTATGCTATACACTGTAACTTTACACACGGCTTGTGTGTTGTTCAGTTCTCCAAATCACTCCATGTATTACAAACCGCAGAATACATGACCTGGAAAACGCCCACACACATTTATCAAGCATGCAACCAACATAATTCGAGTTGCTGCAAAATGGAAACCCTTTGGCAACTTCGCCTTGACCTTGCCGTAGCTGGCAAGCAAGTACCTGTGGGTAATAACGGACCAAAACTATTAATCAACGGATATTTTGTTACAGACCGGACGCCGCACACGTCATCCGTTAATTTAACGGCAAATAACGGTGAAGAAAAAGTGAGAACTGGATTTTGCGGACGGCAGTACGGCAAACAGCGGACCGGATACTACCGGACGAATATCACACTCACTTTTACGAACCGGACTCAACGGACCGGATGGCACCCGAGTGTGGCCAACCCCTACGACGCTAACGCCTCCGGAAACCAGCGGCCACCGGCAAGGCCACAACAGGCATATTCTTGTGCATTTCCTCTGTACCTTGCAAAGTAACCAGCCCGCAGGTGAACTACTAAGGATTGCATATTGAATGTAGGTGATCAACTGTTAGGTTTTGTAAAAGGTTGCAAAGCCTTGTGGGCAACTCCGGGCCTGTTGTGCAACTTCGTGTCTCAAAGAGCACCAGAACTTCGGATTACAAAAGATGAGTTGGGCAATTATATTTATAGCTACCCATTTGGGGCAACTTAGCAGCCCAAGAGGCACCGCCAAAAACATAGTTTGAATATTGTGTTTGTCCCGTGCACCCCTTTAGATTCTCATGCCCAGATGAATCACCAAGGTGTCATGTTGTTTCCATGCTCAAGGCAGCGTCCCAATCCCTCCCCAGCCGCTGGCTGCCCCACAACCATTTTGACCCACTGACCCACAAGCTAACGTGTTCACAAACATAATAGTTCCCCCCACATACTGGCCCTACTACCAATATACTTTTGCTCTATTATACAAGCAATGCATTCTCAACTTATCATTGTGGACATACAAGGCCAGTTCGCTACCAGCTACCCCACTGTTTCTTAATGTACAATGTTTGCATTGCTCCCCTCACAGGTTTAGTGGGTTGGCCAAAAAACTGACCATGAGGACAGGCTAGGCAACGAGTTTGCATTTAAACATTTTGGCGATGATTGCCAAAATGTCCGCCCACCCCTTGGCGTTGTGAATGGGCTGTGGGTGGGAAGATCAAGAAAGATGAGAGCAACATGCTGGACTGCGTTAGAAATGGCGTGAGTTGACAATGGTGGGGGTGCAACACGGAATGAATTGGCAAACATTGCGAAGTCGTTTGGCCTTGCAGTGGTTTTAGTGTTGGATAAGCAGGCATGCAGAGGCATGAGCAGCTTTGTGGCAGATGCGGGATGGGAATAGAAAGGTTCGTTGCATGATCCTCATCAATGGCAAAACCTTGGCAATGGCGATCGACAATGAATGGCTTGTTGTGCAAGGGCGCCCAGGTTGTCGATCCTAATGCCGCAGCACGTCTTGAATGTCCACGGCACACGCCAGGGGTGGGTGGGAACTCCTGGAACCTTGGGCAGCTCTTGCTGCCTTTGCTCTTTGTCTAGCACTGCGCGAGGACCTTGTGGCTGCCCACGACTTTGGCGCATGAGTGGGGCCTTACAATTTTGAATGCAGCGAGTTTCTGGCGAAGGGGCAGCGGCAGATACGGTAGTCAGCATACGGGCGACCAGCCTCCTTCGCGGACTGCATATAGTTCCACCCATTAACCACATTATAATAAGAGGAGTCTTGGGCTTCAAACCTCAACCAGCTCGCCATCGCCCATGTACCCCGCACCACACCCCCGTTGGACGCCCCCCAATGTACTGAACCGCAGACGCAACCGGTCCCGATCCTACGAGGTTTTCAGTCCCCCCACAGGCGCGAATCTGGGCGGCGGGCTCAAGGCTCCGCCCGTACAGCCCCCATCCCCGGGTGCCCCTCACCCCCCTGGGCCCACCAAGACCCCTCAGCGCCGGTCAAGGGCCGCTGGCGCCGCCGGCACCGGGATCCGTATCCAGCCCAGGGGAGCGACGCCGCACCGCGGGCGCGAAAAAAAACAGGGGTCGTCTGAGCCAGGCGGGGGAAGGCCGCCAGCGTATGGCATCCGGCCTCCGGCCGCGGCATCTGGATCGCGCCTTGAGATTTGGCCAAGGTAGTCCGTGCGGAGCATTTGAGGCGGCCTGGCCACGGTGAGTGCCTCCCGGCGCGTGTAAGGGCCGCATGGGGTCCGGGGGGCCGTCCATACGACACCGGCCGGGATTGTACAGCGGCCGGTCCCCGCGCATGTGGGCCGCCGGCCATTTCTTCCTCGCCGTGCCGCGCTTTGCGGCCCTGTTCAAAGACCGCGATTCGACTCTTTCTCTCCTGTGCGAAGGGAGGTGGTTCGGCGCCCGCCGGTTGATTGAGGCCATTCATTGCCAGCGGACGGCCCAGTGCGGCCAGGGCATCGATTCAAAGCGCTGCGGGGCGCGGCAGCCCCTCGCAGATCAGAGGGGGGGACCCGCATGGCGCCACACGGTCTGAGGGAATGGGCGGTGGCGCTGTGCTGGCTGGCCGCGGTGACGGCGGCTTGCTGCAGGTGCGGGGTGGGGGTGGGCACGGGGGCGGCGGTTCTTGGGGAGGTCAACGCAGGGGACGCGGTGGGGGGGTGGGAAGGGGGGGAGGGCGCCAGTTGTACATGGCGGGGGGGTTGGGGCACGTGCTCGCCCATGCGCACGTGCATATGTACTGCCCGGTACGGCATCGCTGCTGGCCTAATCTGCCTGTTGTCATGGACGAGGAGTTGTTGCGTTAGGAACTCGCATGTGGCAATAGGTGCAGGGGGAGCAAAGCGCGGCTTCCCAACGCCCTCGCCATCTCATCCAATCGTGTATCAAAATACGGAGGTTGCAGCGGCCCTGCGTGTGATGGGGCCCTCTACCCTTGCTTGGCTTTCTTGCTGGGCGCACTCTTTGAAGGAGCTTCAGAAAAGCTCTTCTGTGCGTGCTGCTTCTCGAAAGTTTGCAAGAAGTCGGTTGCCTCCCAATCTCACTCTTCTCTTGCGTGACGGTTAAACGACGGGATGGGCAGCCAAGCCCGAATCGAAAACGCGGAGGCGAACGATGGTGTTGGGTGCGTGAAAGTGTGGTACCTCCACAAGGGCCACGTGCGGCCTCCAACGCAGCACTGGGAAATCGCGTCGCCGCATGCACTAACGAAGAATAAATTTGTGGTTTATGCGCTCGGCTAGTAATTTATCATGGATAACAATGCTGCTATCTTGCTGTTACTGTTTTCTTTTTGTTCGTAATGGCAATTGTTAATAGTATTGTCATCATCACCACTGCCACAATGTCACAACATACCACTGCGCCAACAGCTGATATGTGCCTTCCCGCCCAAGGATCGCCTTTGATTCGCGCACTATATTTGGATCATTCTGTTGGGACCCTTGTATCATCTTGCACGGACAACGTTGGGGCAGGGTTCACCACGCAGTTGCGACGAGGTGGCAAAAGAGCCGCTTCCGTGGTGGCACCAGGCTCTGGACATCATTCTTGCGGCAGTGTCTTGTCACACGGGTTGTGAGCAGATCGAATGAACGCATGCAGGACATGACAAAATTTTACAGATATGTACATGCCTGTCATCGCCTACAAGGTGCAAGGACACAGCTTGGTCTCATTGAAGGCAGTTTCAAAGGATTAAATTTGATCTTCTATGGAACTTTTAAAGCTTCCATGGTGGTGTGAGTCAGGCATCAACATTGGGGATGGTTTCACAGGGCATATGAACCCGGGAAGATGTCGACCACATCCTTGAAAGTCAGAGCGGAATTGAATGGACTGCCACTAACAGAAGGTCAGGAAAGGGGCACATGTGTCACATGTGTAGAACCACAAGCAACAGCTCCACCTTATGGATCTACAAATTGCTGCATCACACGTAAGATTACTGATGCTACTCCCTGTCCACTTATAACTGCGATGCCGTCTAATGGAAAGGACATGGATTTCCATGGAGATGCAACATGCTGTGGCATGGCATCAGCCGATGCTACAATATGCATATTGTATGGCAAAATATGTCTCAGTACAATCACAGCATGATGACAGATGAAAACAGTACATCGTTGATCATCATTCTTCAACGCATCAATGGAAGCATGCTGTGGTTGCACATTTGGGCGCTTTGAGAGCAGACACTACCCTTGTTGCCCACTTCATTTGTGCTGCCAGAAAAGTCGTCTCTGGACAGAGTTTCAGATGCATGTGGTTCAGTTCAAGAATTTAGCACATTTCTTGTGGATGATGACTCATCTGTAGGAACTATGCCAACTGACTTGTGTGCTGTGTTGATGTTCCCATGCCCAAATTTCTGTGGTGCCTTGCAGGTAACCTGGAAAGTGAGCGCATCCACTACCCACGGGGCCTGCTCCAGGATCGACGAACTTTGAATGAGGTGCGGTGCACACAGATTGAGACGGGACCAGTGCAGGGCGAGTTGAGGAGTAAACTAACCAACATGAGATCAAGCCAAGTGAACCTTGAGCTGTACTCATTGCACCTTTTGACGCCTCCAACAGTTCATGGCTTTGCCGTTCTACAGCCAGCCGGTTCCAGATCGTGCACACCAGTAGACAAGAAGTTGACTGTGATAGGCATGTGGTATGGACGTTGATGTGGGCATGCCTGGCAGCTGCGCGTGTAGGTGCAACTGCCCTAAAGCTTGGAGCTTTGTTCGATTCTTTTGTTGTTGCTTCTGATAACTGATGGAATTGCAGGCACATAAATTCCAAACCAGCTATACACGGCATGACGGGGACTGGGGGCCCCTGACTATGATGAGCTTATGAACGTTCACTATTCTCATGGGCAATGAATGCCCACTTGAATGTGGTGTAGAATCACAAGACGACCATGAAATTGGACCGAAATTGGGTGCCTGGGACACGTCCGTTTGACTTTGTACTGAGCACATGTTGTGCGCATTCATGCATAAGAGTACGCAGATATCTGCACAATGCACATCGATCACACAATATACACGCATGCATATGCCGCCAGCAAGAAAGAAAGATTTTGGCCCCTGGGGCGCAACGGCGTCAGTCAGTGATGGAAACCGTATGGAAGGGGGGGTCCCCACGGGATCGAGGCTGCGTGTGCATCAACTTTCAGCACCACATTCGATTTTTTACAAGTTTATTTGGTATACTAGTTTTCTGCTTGTAGTACACGCAGAAGGCGCGCTCACATGCAAGCATACTCACACATTGCGCACATTTCCGCGCACAGCCACCTACCCCGCCCGTCCCCCCGCAAGGGCGCCGCTTGGTCTTTCGAAAGCAAATTTAAAAGACAAAGGGCTGAGTTCAAAAAAGCAAAGCAAACCAGGAAGGAAGGAATTTTTAAAGCAAAGCAGAGCAGGTTGGAAATTACACAGCAAAGCAAAGCAAAGCAGGAAGGAATTCACAAACAACAGCAAAGGAACCGCAAACGGACCTCATGTGACTGACGCGTGCTCCCCTGGTGCAGATCCTCTGGGACGCCGCGGCCGCCGGCGACCACGACGTCGCGACGACAGCCCTGAAGCGTGGCGCGGACGCGGAGTACCGCTCCGGCGACAACAACGACACGCCCCTCGCGGTGGCCGCCTTCTACGGCCACGCCCCGGTCGTCCGCGTCCTCCTGGCCCTGGGCGCCGACCCCGAAGCTGTAGATGATCGAGGCCTCACAGTGCTGCTGGGAGCCGCCCAGGAAGGCCATGCCGAGGTGGTGACCATGCTTCTGGAGGCAGGCGCCGACCCAGACGAAACAATGGCGGACAGCGGGATCGCGCCGATTGCCGCTGCCGCTCTGAGGGGCCATGAAGAGGTCGTGAGGGCTCTGCTGGAGGGCGGGGCGGACCCGGGGGTCATGGACGCGGAGGGCGACGCCCCGCTGCACCTCGTCTCGGTCACGCTCGCCGGCGGGGCCGAGGGGATTGCCCAGGCTTTGGTGGGTGCGGGGGCGGACCTGGAGGCCGTTGGCGCGGACGGCGACACGCCCATATTCTGGGCGGCGTACTTCGGCAACGTGCGGGTGGCCGGCGTGCTGGTGGAGGAGGGTGCGGATGTCGGCGCGAGGAACGACGCGGGCAACGTGGCGGCGGACGTCGTGTGCGGCTGCCTGGAGGACGTCGGCGAGGACGCCATCCAGTGCCCCGCGGGCGGCTGCGACAAGGGCGCCGTCATCAAGCGCCTGGCGCAACTTCTGGCGTGACCTGGGGGAAGAAAGGTCGTGATCATGTGCCTGAATGCACGACGGGTGTAGGAACTGCGTCGGAACGTTGACGGAACGGTGACGGAACGGTATTTGAGCGCCGCATGGACTGAGAATTTGCGGCATTTCAACCGCATCGACATGGGCGCAGAGAGGGGCTCCGGGTGGCGGGGGCGTGAGTGGGATCGGTGTGGGAGCAGTTTCCGTCGGCCAGAAGGGCCGGGCGCCGTTCGGGGATCTTTATATGATAAAGATCCCTTATTTATTGATTAGATCCTGGATCTTTGTGAAGATCCTGGATCTCTAATTAGAGGGTTCCAAGACCGCAGGAGGGCGTTTGAAGTCGGCCGAGTGCGACTGCAGCCACGCCGCACCAGTTGAGCGCCCGCATTATGCCTGTACATTGATAGCTAGTTTCCTGCGTCGCAGCTGGGGCGCTGACTTTGTACCCGGGTTCCGGCAGCTGTTGGTTTCATCCACGTGCGTATGCGTATTTTTGCTTGCTTGAATTCCAGGGGAGGAAGGACTGGGCGATGCGAGCGCCCCGCCACGGCCCGTGTTACTGGCCTCGGCTTGTTGGGCCAGCCAGGACGGGGGCGCGTGGGCTTTTATGGGGGAGAGGAAACGAACGCTGGAACAAACCGTGTGTGAGCTGTGCCGTTACTGACGGCGGGATGCAAGGGCGGTGCGTGGTCACTCTTGCTCGCACAAATGTAAATAAAGACTTGACCGTAGGGCCACGGACGACTGCGTGTGACAGTGCCATCTCGCGGAACATTCTGCCGTGGACTTGCAATCCTTAACTGTTGACACAGTGGCTTGGCGGTCCGGAAAGGAAGGGTGCGCGTTTGGGAAAAGGGCTCCGCGGGCGACAAGCTGTGGTGGACATGCGGGCCACATGCGGCTGGTACCCTTTGCCCAAATTGAGCACAGGGCTCGGCACTTTGCTGCGCTTTGCCGTCAGAGGCGACCGTGTGGACACCAACAACGTCGTCTCCTCAGTGGATTGTCCTTTGTCACGACCCGCTGCCCATTGCTTTCGCTCACGCGGTGCTTTGTGCGGTGCCCCTTGCACGTGTTCGCCGACTGTGCAGCCCCGACCATGGTCAGCGGTGGCGGCAACGCGATGGAATGCAGGCGGACGACAGTGTACACTAATTAGTGTCAATGGTATTGTGTACGTACTTCCACCATGAAGCAGTATATTGTGTGTATAGTATATAGCGTACATATAATGTGCTCGCCGGCCAGAGGCAGGTTGGCGTGCCATGCAAACAGCACCTTCGCCCAGGGCCCCATGTACCACGCATCCCGGGGTCTGACAGCAACACGCTGACAAAAGCGATCGGCAAATTGAAAGAAAGACGAGCATATGACCGCGTCAGTTAAACAATCACAACAATCGTGACCACCGAGTCACGGAAAATCCATGGCCCAATCCTCCCCTGTCCCCATTCGAATCATGCGCCACCAGCCCCAGCCGCGACTCTTCGATTCGCATGTGAGGGCAGTGAGCAAGAACCCCTGAGAGCCCGTTCTCCCAGTCCCAGGCGCCCCGGCTGACATTATCGCAACAGGCCACCATCACGCTCTATGGCACCAAGTCATGCCCAGGGATTGCTCGGCTCGAACCACCTCCACCGAAGGGCAAACGCGGGCACACGCCACTGAGACACAACTCGAATCCTGAGCAGCCTTTCTTCAATGCGCACACGAGCGCGTTTAAGGCGCAATCCCCATGATGCTAGACTCGCATCCCTCAGGCTCCGTCAGCCTGGCAGCTACCCGATCGACAGCAGCGTCCACTGCAGGTCCGACTTCCCCGCGGGCACCTTCGCCAGCGGCCCCTTCACGAAGGTCCACTGATCCTCCCGTAGCTGGCGGTCGTCCGAGATCACCACACCGTCGGGCCGCGTGACGACGGACCTGTCCAGCGACAGGAAGCGCACGCCCACCATGAGCCACAGGTGGTCGGGCGGGGCCTCAAGGCCCGAGGGGTAGAACTTGCGCACAGCCTCCAAGTCCAGGAGGGAGAAGGCCGTGACGAAGGCGGAGCGAACGTCCTCCGCCGTCGTCGTGTACTTCAGGCCCTGCTTCTCGTAGTCCGCGGCAACGCCCCTGTTGGGAAGAACTTGGAATGAATGAATGAATGAATGAAGGAAGGAAGGAAGGAAGGAAGGAAGGAAGGAAGGAAGGAAGGAAGGAAGGAAGGAAGGAAGGAAGGAAGGAAGGCAGCCCAAGCAATGTACGCAAGGCAACATCGACGCTATGCAACAATTGCAAGTTCAAATTGAATGATTCAATAGAATAGATTAATAAAACAATAAAACGAAAACAAAAATGTGTAATAACTGAAGTCGCGCAGCTTGGCATTGTCAGAGTACTGGCCATACGTAAGCACACCACGACGACAGTCCGCATACCTAAGCTCCCGTTTCACAGCATGAAATTAGGGGCCTGGAAACAGCAACCCTCATTGAAATGTTGCACAACTAAATTGACCGCAAGCTTGCTGTTACAACCATTGCGAAGCTTCATTAGTGATGCTGCAAATTTGAGCTCACTTCCCTTTTCTCACCAGGCGCTCCCATTAGGTTAAGATTGACAAAAGGCTGGAAACAGGTAAAAAGAAAATTACCCTGGAAACTGCAGCGGCGACAGCATCGAGGGGCTAGGCCAGGCGCAAGGGTATGCTGGGGCTGTTGGTGTTGGTGCTGAAGTTGTCGCCGTGCCAGGCTGGGCTTTTCTTATCGTTTGAATTCCAATGCATTACACAGCAATACTATCAAAGGACTCCGGCTGGCCTTGGATGGGCTGGGTGAGGTTGGGTTTGGGTGGGTGGGGGAGGCAGGGGAGGGATATGCTGAGCGTAGGAATACCGTAGTTTATGCTACCTTTCTGCATCAAAAAATTTACCACTACGCTTTTGCTCCGCGTTTTGTTTTTCAGAGTTATTTTTTATGTTTTTTACGTTGCTCCGCAGAACACTTGTTAGAAGAGTACTACAGTATGTCAAATTCGATTTGCTGGTTTTAACACATACGTTTCCCAGCCGTGCGCTGCTTGTGAGCCTCAGAGGCGACAGAGGTGCAGGGCATTGCGATAGCATTGTTGTCATTAGGCCAGTGCTGGTCATGGCTTGACAATTGCAAACACGATGAACAGGCCCTACCTGAAAATAAAAGCGCGTACGTGTACCATTAAAACACAAAAACAATGATCCTCACATGCCTCTGGGCCCAGACATAGCACAGGGGAGGCATGGGCAGCGTCCTAAATGATTGAAGGTCGCCAGCAATAGCTTGCACTCCTAACCTACTTTCGGATAAAGTAGGTATAAGACTCAATACATAGATTCGGGGTGCTATATTGGGAGTACTAGGAGAGACAGTGGTGGAGCAATGCTTGGGGTAATGCAGAAGCGCTGCTGGATCAAGGTACAAGAATGGATTACCAAAGCGGTGATGGCTGTTGAGAAAGGGGTATGTGTTCATTGCAGGCAGGATATTGCTGCACAAATCCGCTGCCCACTCACGTGGTTACCTGCTGCATGATGTGCTCATGCAACCTGCTTCGCCTGTTGGTTACAGAAACTGCAGCGCACGTGCTGGCATTAACATTGGTGCGTGCAGCATTTGACGACCCCTGACTCAGCACATCGACACACTGGCACTGTATGCCTCTGGAATTTGGACTCTGCCATGTGTGGACATCACGTCCTGGGCACTTTGCGTGCAGCCACATGCCCACAATCGCCTTGCATATGCAAGCTATGTGTTTTGTTTGTTTTTCGGTTTCCTTTTTTTTCAACATAGGATTCACACTCTGCACGCTTCGCCCTTTCGTCATTGCTGGTTGGTTGGGTTTGCCTACCACATCTGCTAAGTTTTATGCTTTGCAATGGTGCTTATTTCTAAAGTATATATGGTCAATAGTAACATAGTCATGCTGCTCCCAGGCCTGAATGTGCCACAAGTGCATAATTGTAAGCAATTCAACACTCCCTGCTGGGTCAACGCGTTCAACTCACTGCATGACATTGAACAGCCTCTCTGAGACGAGCGGCTTCAGAGTGACCCAGTCGCGCTCCCCAAACAAGTGTGTCACTGCAACACAGCACAGCTTGATATGAGAGTGGAAATGTCCTTGCACATGTCTCCTCTGAATTCAGATAATCAGACAGCACCCTAGCTTTGAATCGGCGGACTTGACATGATGGACATAGCTGTTGCAGTCCACAAGATCACTGGAATGCAAATCAAACATCACTGTGTTCCCGCTGCAAGCTTGTCAAAACTCTTGGTTCTTTGGTGGTTGATGAGAACAGCATTGCTCAGGACGACACTGATGGCTTTCCTCTTTAGTTGGAATCATACTCATCGTCACGTCATACACATTGTCACACACAAGGACTGTGTGTTGCAGCACTTTGGGAAAGTATTTGAACAGTCTCAGCAACTGGCTTCTTCTTTTCCACTAGGCAATGCACATGCCAGTCCATCACCCAGAAGTGTTTGCAACCAATACAAAGAACTATACACAAACCGACGTAAACCCTGAATTACAGAGTCTGCAGACTGCCTTCAGGCATCAGCACACTATAAGGCCAACAAGTGGGGAAGCCAGCTCTCCTGCGCCCTATACCCTCGACCCCAAACTTCCGTGCACACAAATTTCTGCCATCTTTCAACTCCCAACTGTGGCATTTTGCCTCACAGGAAGCAAAGCAACACTGCACAAGAGTTGAACGTGTTTTGCAGATTCCTTTTATTTGGGTGCAAAACGCAATTTCAGATGCTCTTTTTTTCCGTATTTGTAATCAGCGACCAAAGCCATAGCATTGCCCTTGCCTACAATGTCGAGGCTTAACAGCATTTTCTGCGTGCCCAGCAGTTTCTTGCACGCATCCAACACCAAGAAAGAAAAAGGCAACAACAAGGGGATAATGCACACAGAATGATGGAGTAACCACACAGAAATCTCACCCATGAAGTATGCATCTTTGCTTCCCTCAAGAAACTGTTCCTCATTGAAGGTGGTGTCTGCGATGGATGCCACAGCCCTCGACAGCGAATATGACTGCGAATGCAAAAAAACACAAGGTACAATGCAAAACCGAGAATGCTACACAAATACAAGTTCACTCACAAAAACGGTACAGCAACACAACAACAAAAGTAAGCGCCATAAAGCACCACAACGAACAGCACCAAATGCAAGTACTTGTTGTGGCATCGGACGATCGCAGAAAACTGGAGGCAGTCGATTACGCCCTGCTCATGCCTGCCTTGCTCACCAGGATGGTCAACAGCAATCTGAGGACAGAGCCAAAAATGCCACCCCCCTCAAGAAGCGCATCGGAGGTGTTACTTTTCTGGGGTGTCCTGCCCGAGTCCTCAGGCCCCTGCACAGCTTGCTGGAGCAGGCCTGCAACAAAAAGGGAGTGTGACCAGTTGAGCGTAGACTGTGGAGGGGAATCTAGTTTCCTTGGCAGCAGACACATCCCAAAAACTAGCACTGCAGGTTGTGTGCCTTTTCTTTCTGGAACCAAAATGTTGCATCACATTTAAGAGCCCAGGCACCTCTTTCATTCCTTCCTCTTGCGCCACCTCACAAGAAAGTGTTGGCAATGAACATGCTCCTATTGAAGAGGTCAGATGTGTTCTTCTGGCAAGGATGCTCAGTGTGGACAGTGACAGCAGCTGCAACAAGTGTTGCCAACTTATGCAGCCGAATGTGCCATGACACAATGCAGGAATGTGATGCCAAATGGCTTCTTGAGTGCAGAGGGGCTGAACCAACATTGAGACAAGGGAAATTTGAGTGTGTATCATCGGGTGAGCACTGGAAAACCAACCAATGCCACACAAGTATATTCTGGCATCTGTTTGTGGGCTGAGCTTGCTGGGCTATCTTGGATAATCTTGGAAGTACATTAACCCAGCTACCGCAATTCATGACTTGCTGGACAACATGAGCAGTTCAGTTGACAACCCATGCATGAATTCAATTGTACTCCCCATACGATATCGGACTCATTCTATTTTCACATTGTTGTTGTAGGAGCATTTTCTCAGTCTGGCACCACGTGCACATCTTTCACAAAATGGCTGACAGTCTCTACAGCTTTTGTTCAGAGGACTGCAGTGAGCAGTGTCCGACATGTTATCCTTTCAAGGCAAAGAACTTCCTGTGCAACGAGGGTGTAAGCCCATTCCTGGCCATTTTGTTTTGGCCTTGAAGCTGGCTTTCAGCCACCAGAGAATGTTCACCTGGGGTCACGAACAAGACATGGACCTTTTGGTATCATTGAGCAGAGCGCTCCCATTGCAGGCGTACCCTCCTTTTTTCTGTCGATAAAAACTCCTGAAATTTCTCCTTGGTCCGACAACTTTACACTCTGTTCGATCTTGCACGGCAGCCTTGTTCTGCTGGAGCGTGTCTGTCCCTGGTGCTGTGGGGTGAACACCCCGGCACTTTGCTACGAGCAACACGACAACAATCCTCCATGCTTGCATAATGGCCGAAGTTGGGGACAGGCATGGATCCATACTTGCAATTGAGCGATGCGCGTGAGCCAGAGACATGATTCTTTAAAGTGTTGGAATGTCTATTATTCTGACTGACAACAACAACACCTACTGGAGTGCTGGAACCCCAATTTTCGGGATTGTGCAATCACTCTCATATGGCACATTCCTGGGCTCTACAAAGCCTTCTCACTTTATTGTGAGGAGGCACACGAGGCCCACACCTCTCTTCCACGACGGGGGCCAACCCAGGACTCCTGAATGCTGTCCAGCAGTTTGCAATCAATACCAACCAAAACCACACGAACAAAAGCAAAAGAACCCCCCCCCCAACAGCACTCACTTTTGAGCTGATCCGCCCTCCGCCTCAGGCCCTCCTCCGCCGCTGTGGTGTAGGCCACCCCCATGCGCAGCAGCTTCTCCACCGTGTCCCCCCTCCCCTTGGCCCCCTCCCCCTCCTTCGCCTCCCCCTTGTCCCCATCCTTTGCCCCGTCCCCCCCCCGCTCGTCCTTCCCCTTCTCCTCCCCCCCGCCAGCCGAAGTGCCCATTCGCCTACCATGCGATCCCAATCGGCATCCCCAGCCTCCAGCGATTGAATCCCGCATCAGCGGGAGGGAATCCAGTCGGCCGCCCCGGCCTTCGGCCATCGAGTCCCGCATCAGCGGCGAGCAATCGGCGGCGATGCCGCCCAGCCCAGGGTGCACACAGCGCTGGGCGATTTTCGGCATGCCGGCGTGCTGCTGATGGATCATGGATCGCTCCTGCGCGCCGTCGCGCGCAAAATGCGCCAGGGAGCACACCGACCCAAGGACCGGGGCACATGGGAGGGCAAGGTCATTGGCGAGGATGGCGCGGAAGGCGCGCAGCGCGGCCGCCCTGCCCCTGAAGATGAGCATGGCGCGGTGGAGGCCTGCGGAGACGCGAGAGGGGAATCGTTGGCTGAAGGGGTGGCTGGCCCGTTGCGGTGGCCCGGGGTGATCAAGAGATGGCGGGGCGAGGGGGAGTGGGATTTGGGAGGGCTGATGGGCGGGGCTGGGCAAGAGGTCGGCGGGGGTGGGCGCGCGAGCAGGGGAGGCTGGTCTGGTGCTGGTGGTGGGTGGTGCGCGGGGGGTGTGGACCTGGCCTGCGGGAGCAGCCACAGGAGGAGAGTGGATGCGTGAACCGAACAGGCCGACCCACTCGAACGAAGACGCAAAGGGACGAAGAAAGAAAGAAAAACAAACAAAAAGGGAAAATGACACAAGGGGGGGGAGGGGGGGTCGCCATAGGAGGGCTTTCTAGTGCACATTTCCCGCAAGTGAACCCAATGAGCGACAGGGGTTGTGGCAAAAGGGGGTCCTCTGCGGCAAAAAGAGGGTCCTCTACGGCGGTGCAAATGACAAAAGGCGGACCTCTGAGCGCCACCCGTACATGAGAAGTGCTGCCGGTCCGGCGTCGGACCGCGCTGCGGTCTTATTAGGGGCGACTCCGCAGAAGACCCCCTTTTATCATTTGCACCCCCCTAGATCTAGGGCCTCTAGAGGACCCCCTTTTGTCATTTTCCCGGAATAAAAATACCATCATGAGAAATACGAAATGGAGAAAACAGAGAAAAGCGTTGAAAGAATGGGGAAAATGGGGAGGAAAACGGCGGTGCCCGAAAATAACAAAGAAAGGAAGGAACTGAACGACGGCCTTGTGGGAAGCATGAAACGAAGGGAAGAAAGAAAGAGCGTGAAAGGAATGGAAAAAATGGGGAGGAACAACGTCAGAAGCACAATGTACAGGAGGATGCATCTGCGGTTGGCTACCAGAAAATGGCAAGTTCTGCACCATCGTCAAGATGGACGCCCGCGACCAGCCGGTCCGCTCGCCTCCCAGAGCGGCCCAACCGACCGTCGGGCAATACTCCCGCGCTTTCCGAATGCGGGCCCCACCAAGGGCCTGGCGGAGATGATGCGCGCGCTCCCCAGTGGCCGCGCGGGGCAGCCCCTTGCCCCTGGACTGCGCGCCAGCGCGCAATGGCGGGCGCACAAGCGGGTAGGGCATCGATGCCGCAGGTTCATCGGCGCCGCGCTTCCGCCCGATCCTTCCACATTGATTGTGAGCCGCTGATTTGGAATCCTGCTTGAATTGGTGAGCCCTGTTTCGAGTTGTGTTCGGATTGTGGCTTGATCGCAGGCAAGGTGGATGGCGTCGGGACGCGCGGGGTGGCAGGGGCTGCGCGTTTGGACGTCTGCCGCGGTTCGGCTGCGCGGGGGGAGGCGGGGAGGGGCGCGCCCTGTGGTGAGTGGGTGCGACCGATCGGCGGAGCTGATTCCGCACTGATGGGACCGATCGTCGCAAGCAGAGCGGTTCGGATGAACGGATTGGTCCAGGCGATCGGGGCGCTGTGCGCGCACTGCACGCGTTGTGCCCCTCGTGGAGGTCCGCAAGGCGGAGCGCTGGGAGCCGCCGCTGCGTTATTTTGCTTCATGCGCACCATCAGCGCACCATGGGGAGCTCTCGCCTTTTGATGGGCGTTGGCAAAGGGGGCCATTAAGTCATGTGGCTGCACCCCGCCTGCTTAGCTGCGGAAGGAAACTTGCAGCAGCCAGATTGCTAGCACACATTCTCGAATGCTGGCCGAAGGCATACATTCAACGTCGGTTCGTTTGATCCCTAAGCAACCACAACTTCAGTTTCCTTTCAAGTACAATCCATTTGCCTTCCAAGCCCAACACCAGCTGGCATGCCATTACCCTTTCCCTCTGTGAGTTACGCTCTTCGGATATATTCTCTTTCCCTTTCTGTCCCCTCGCTTGGGCGTCCATTGCTCTGCTATGGGCGTTCAGTTCTTAGGTTCCTGTGACCCCAACACGTATTATATAACACGGAGTACAACACCAATTCTTGTTTTCCCACACTGCCGATTTCGCTTGTCTCCAGAGGCTGCTAGGACAAGGTGTGGCCTCTCATTATACCCACCCCATCAATCTCCTTCACCGTCATGGCCATTTTTTGGACTTTGGCACATCTGGCGATCTTGTGGTGGACCAATCACCGTTGACTCAGGCCCAACACCACCTTTCGTGTGAAAGGGCTGTGCGTACACTGCGATAATTGCAACAAAGGGCTTTTACCATCATGGCCATGCTGCTACACTGAGATTTTCCAAAGCTGCGACACCACATTGTGACCACGGTCGACATTGCTGCCGATGGGTGCGGAGGTAATAGAACTATCGATTTAGGGACAGATAAACGTTTTTCGTGGATGCATGCTCATCATCACTTGCAAGGTGCAGGGCCTTGCCTTGTCTTCCAAAGAATTAGTCCACACCATGCATTGTAGTGGTTGACAAAAGAGTTGCACACACATGTCCCAGAAGGGTTGGGCCCAGTTGTGGGGCTGCCATCCCCGAGAAAGTGTTGAAGCAAATGGCAAGTCCATCAATGGTATTCCGCGAGAATGTGTGGTAGGCAAAGTCCATGTCACATGAAAGCGATTTTTAGGCACTTCAGCCCCCAACTGTTGATTGTTTTCCACCCAGGCATGGATCTGCATACCGGTTGGTTGCACTATGGGCAGCCGATTGCCAGCCCTGAAGAGTACGACTAGCAGAGAATAACCCAGTCCCCAAAGGGAACATGCCAGAAGCAAGAGCCCAGTTGCACAGGCATTGCCTCTTCAATGTTTGACCAATAGAATACTAGGATTTTCAATGTCCCACGTTTGCCCTGCTGGCAGTCATTGGCTTGGTTTTGCAAGAACACCTTTTTTTGCATTCCCAGTTCTGCTGCTTCCAGAAACTTCTATGTTGTCCATGAATGGAAGATCACATGTCGCTGTTCAGGCATCCCCATCATGCGAGCTCATGTCTCACTGCCTGGACGGCGCAAAGGGAGTGCCTTGCCAGCATGCAAAAGTCGCAATCAAAAGTTTGAGTTTTGTTGATGCCCTGGGTATCATGCACATTGGTGGCAACTCGTGACATTAATCAGCGCCCAACAGCCACCACTTTTGCACCCGCAGATACAGGCTGTCACTCCCAGTGTGAGTGTCAAGCCCCAGCCAGCGTTTGAGCATCGCTACGGCCTGCCAATCGTCCGCGAGTATGCCAAGTACCACGAGATACTTCGCGATGTGCGCACTGAAAAGGTGAAAGAAATCCACTGGTTCACACAAGAGGATGAATATGAGGTGGAGGGCCCCTGTCTGATCGAGTATAAGGATGGGAGTATCAAGCAGGGTCACATACCTCCGAGCGACCTCAGGATACCCTTTGCCATGAATGCGCACAATGTGAAGGGCACTGCCCTTAGGCCTGTGCCAGCGCCTGAGGAGCTGGACCCCCCTGTCCCACCCTCAGAAAGGATGCTGGAGTTTGTTTCAAAGGTGCGTGTATTGTTGACCAGTTTGGCAGGCGCCCACGTTGCTGCTGTTGTGGTTGTTGCTTGGCAGCAAACATCTGTTGTGTTGCATTTTTAGGGACTCAAGGCTAACAATGGGTTTTGTCTAGCATGGAAAGAAGAGCAGTGACCCTGCTGTTTTGATATCAGCTGCGTTGTCTTGAAAGCCCTGGGGCAGTCTGGCAGCACAGTGGACTGTGCAAGTGTTTAGGATACAAGAACTACCAAGGCGCCTCAGTGCACACCTGGTTTTTGGTGCAGAACTGCAGCGCCACTTGGATGCTGAATGTAGCCATGCTCCTGCACAGGTTTTGCCGATCATAGGACTCATAGCAGTGTATGCAGCTGTCCACTATATGGCTTGGCTTCGAGGGGACATGGATGACAGGCGCAAGATACGGCAAAAGGAGAAGGAGGAAGCACGGAGGCTGAAAGAGGAGATCAGCCAGGAGCAGAGGGAGGAGGAGGCAGAGACGCTGGCCATGATGGGCTGGGACGCAGGTGGGCGATCCTCTGTGAATCCTTTGCTTCCAGCTTTCTGAAAGTGACAACACCTTGCTTGCACCTGCAGGGCGATGTCAGGCGTAATTCTCCAAGTAAATTGTCCAGATGGCAACCGCCTTCATCAATTTGTTGGGGTCCGTGGTTCCCAAAATCCAAAGTTCTGGCGGTTGATCATGTAACTGCAAGCATTTCATTGGATTTTATTGTGCATGACTGTCTCCTCCCTTGTGCCTGTCAGATGATGTTGGACATATTGCATCACAGCTCGTTGTTTGAGATTGCCTATGCATATCACTGTGACCAAAGGTGCAGTCCTGTGTCGATCCCTGGTTTTGCTCCTTGAAGATGTATCAATTGAAGGTATGTCTTCATCAGATCAAATGCATGCTTGGGCAGGTGTGCAATCGCCCCAATCCAAGATAGTGGCTGGTTACATTCCAGCAATGTTGTGAAAAAAAAACCCTAGAATGGCCCCGTGGCAAATGTGCGATCGTTTCCGCACAATGGACGTGGTGCGCAGCTCCATGCAGTGTTTTTTCAGCTTCAATGCTTTTTCCCCAAAGTTGCCAGAGAAGTTTGGCCATGTTAGTCAGGTAGCAGGTGTGCGCTCTGGCATTACTTTGGGCCTTGATGAGTACGTGGTAAAGGCAGGCACTTGTGTTCAGTGTTTGTTCATCGCATGTTGTTCCCATTTCATGAAGTCACTTGGTGTAGAGTTGTATACTGAGCGATTCGATCTTTGGATGTGCCTGAATGATGTTGAGGAGTTGACCGCGACCGGGTGGGGTGCATGCGTATGTTCAGTCATCGTTCGTTGGCTCTTTAGGCAATGGGTTGTTGATTAATTGACAATCTTATCAAAAGCGTACTTGAGTGTGTATATGTGGCCATAGCAGTTCCCACCACATCGATGGACTGTATGGTTGACTTAAGGCTGCCTGCCACATGCTTTTCACAAACCCTGATGTTGATTCCTGTGCTTTGTGTGGCTGCTGGCTTGCCCACGACATCTCAAACCTAATAGTAGATCTATGTGCGGGCTGCTGATTTCCATCTATTGTGCTGGGGGCAGAGGACATCATGGAGGAGCTGGGTCGGAAGGGCATAGAAATGGACAAAGGCTATGTCGAGCGCCTTGTCAAGCGGTCCTCAGCCAAGCTGGGCTAGCAGGAGGCACAGGGTCAGTTTGCGACAGAAGAGGAAGTACAGAAACAGCTTGATGGACGAAAGTGAGTGGGGCCATGGTTGGCAGTGGGTGGTGAGTGGGCACTTTTTGCCTTGGCTGCTTATTGAGCTGCACAGCCAGTAGATCGTGGTTGTTGCAGGTGTACAGTGCCCTGACAAAGCAAGCCTGCTGAACCTGTCAAGCAATGCTGCACTTTGCTAAAAGAGGCAGATGCGGACGTCTCTGATTGAATGGTCCCCAACGCCAGCTGGGCTTCGCAAAGGACTGCCAGTGTTGCTTGCATGCAGCATGTATTGCACTGTGCCTCCGTCCTTTGGTCAGAAATCTTAAAAATGCCTGCAACAAGATCCATGCATCCTTACTCTGGCTAATGGCATCAGGTGAAAAGTGACAGGTGCATGCTGCATAGTTGCATGCATGTCCTACCTCTCGACCTGCAAAGCAGTGCAGTTCACTTGTCATCAAGGGCAATGCAGAAAATTTGCCCCCAGGGCTGATACTGGCTGTGCAGAGGGCAGGGATGGATATAGGAGCATCGCAGGAGGGTGCAATGTGGGACTATAAAGGGCAAGCATCCCATACAATGGGAACCCTCCTTACAAGCACAAGTGTTGATGAGACTCATGCCCATGCTGTGAGAGATAGTGCAGAAAGCTCTGAGTGCTGCAGAAAAGCACACACCACAGAACTATGCTTCTGGAAAACTATGGCAATTCCGCCTGCGGTTGTGCTTTTGGTTTTCAGTGTGTCTGTGCTTGCTTGCTCGCTTGTTGACCATCCTGGAGGGGGGCGTTGGCTCCCGTGGTGTGCTTGAATACTTGGGGGCATGGCCACTGTCGGCTGTCTGTGCACAAGCCAGCGGCCTGACGATTGTCAGATGTCAATACAGTTTGGATAAACAAGGACATGCACCCAGCACCTCGATTCTTGAATGTGATGTAATGTTTTGCAATACCAAAGGCAAGCACCCAGGGGCACTGTGCGAGCAATGGTGAAAAGAAATGGTGGACTGCAGGGAACGGTTGAAAAAGATGGCTGAGGACTCCGAGGACCCCATGGATGCTGCACAAAGCCTGCTGTCCCTGAGCACACTCAAGATGCGAAAGGCGCGCAAGCCTGAGCTGGATGAGAATGAGGACAAGGAAGTGAGGAGGAAGATGAAGCAGCTGGGGAGGAAAATGGATCAGCGGGGTATGAAGTTGCAGTACACAGAAGATGACACAGTGTATTTCGACGATGTTGCAGGCATTGGGAATGCAAAGGTGAGCATGGGGAAAAGCATGGAGGGGGATTGTGTGCGAAAGAGGGGTGAGGCATTTTCTCCTATCAGGGGGTACTGGTTGGTATCTTTGCTGTGCATAGGACTCCTTGCTTCACCTCGTTCGTTGTTGCTATTTAGTGTGCCTAGGTGTTTGTGGCAGCTCTGGCTTTTGCCACTCTTTCTTGTCCGTGTTGGCTGCAGGAAGTAGGTTTTGGCGTTGTTGGCGTCTGCCGAATTCTGCACAATTGTTGTTTGTTTCGATAGAGATTCTGGGGAGATTTCTGTGTTGCTATCAAAATACTAACCAGGTCATAGTAATCGTCAGGTCATAGCAGTAGGGAAGGGTGGTACTTGAGGGATTCCACAATTGATTGTAGTGGAAGAAGGTGAAGATGGGGCAATACTGACAGACAAGAACAGCACCATTGGCAGTGCCCTCAGTACCACTCATGTGTCTTGAAGTAAGTGTTGTTCATTTAGCACAGCACTACATCAAACACAAAGTGCCATTCATGGAAGTGCACAGGACTTGAATATGTCATGCTTAGGCTGATCTGGACACAACAGAATTGTCCACATTTTGTGTTTAATGGCACAACCGTTAGTTAGGATTATGAGGAGCTGTGTGTGAAATGAGGTGGTTTGTCATCAATCAGCAGTTCTACGTTAGGAGCCCATTGGGGTTGGGCTCCATGTGGAGAACTGCGAGAGTGCCCTGCTGCTGGGTTAGTGTGACTTGGGGTCCACTTCCTGTGTCATTATGCACCCAGCAGACATCGAGCATCAATGGTTGGGTCTCTGATAGCCATGAAAGCAACCAGCGAGATCTTGGTATTCTGTTTACCAGTGGCAAAGCCATGTAATAGAGGCAAATTTCGTTTTGGAAGAAGACAATGGCTGCCTCCACCATCGTGATTGTACATTGCGCTGGCCCCCCCTAGACCTGTACTGTGCATATGCTGCATTCTGTGCACTGCAAAGAGTCTCCGGTAAGTGGATGGAGCCATGCATGGCACTGGTCCCTGTGCTGGTCTTACACACTCGTTGCAGAATCGCCCCTCTCCCTGGTGCAAGCCACCATTTAACGATGCCAGCAACGGTTTCATTTTGTGTGATCAGAATGCCCATCATGGTATCACAACGGCTTCGTTAGCAAAAGCTGCGGTCAAAATTACATCACCGTTGGCATCTTCAAAGTCGTGTCTTGTGCTAGTCTTTGCGACCACATCAATTCTCCGATTGCACCTACTCAGAAGGCCAGAATGGTGCGAGCTACCTTCCAAAGCAATGAAGAGCACGTTTCCATTGACAACATTTGTACCAAAGTGTGTGCCCACCACCACAAGCTCAGTAAATGTTGTCGCAAATTTGCAATGAATGCCAATATGTTGCTGGCAACAATCTGCATTGAATGCAAATTCCAGAGTCTGATGGACAGGTCTGCTGTGGATGTGGATCAGTTCGAGGTCATGGAGGTCGTTGATTTTTTCACGAGCCCAGATCGCTTCCGGCAATCTGGTGCCAGAATCCCACGTGGTGTGCTGCTGTGTGGCCCGCCAGGCTGTGGCAAGACGTTGCTGGCACGAGCAGTAGCAGGCGAGGCGGGTGCAAATTTCCTCAGTGTCAACGCGTCTGAGTTCGTGGAGATGTTCATTGGTGTTGGGGCATCCAGAGTCAGAGACCTCTTCCAAGAGGTGGGTTTGCATCGAATGGATACCTGTTGCTTTAGTGCAGCAAGTGCATGGAATTCCTTTTTGTTGCATGTAAATTTTGTGTATTGCTTGTTGGTTTGATGTGTGTTTGTTGTTTGTTTCTTCTTTGTTTGTTAGAGCGTGATAATGTCAGGCCATTTCGCCAAGGTGCAGGTTCTGTCATGGCTCAAGAGTGTATCACTTGACAGGATTGTAGAATCACTGGGGAATAACTGGTTCCTTACGTTCTCCATTCAGCAGCAAGAATCAAGAAGTCCTTTGCACCTTAGACTCATCAGTATACCAAACAGTGCAAATTGCGGAAAACACATTGGGACCAAACAGGGGAATTTGTGGAAAAAAGACCTGTTGGGAACACACAGAGCATGTTGTGGGAAACCTTGTTGTGACTGTTGTCCTCGCAGCTTCCTCGTTGGCATTGCATGACTGCAGTGTCGCTAAAGCGACACAAGTGCCTACTGCTGATGTGCTGTATTTCAGCCCATGTTTTTACTTTCGTTTGATGCACTTGTGTGATGGCCTTTGAATGGCCCCTGTTTGGAGCGGCAGCCTCCAACACACGTTGGTCAGGATGCTGTTCCCAAATGCTGTATTGAATACTTGGCATTTAGAATTAGTTGATGCACCTGTATGCGACATCCACTATTCTGATGGAGTTTCTATTGACCACGCTGTGATTTAAAGTCAATTCATACCCTCGGCTGAGATACATGGAGCCTATCAGGGGACATAGAAATCTGCCCACTTCCTCAACACTTGACATGCCCATCTGTATTCACCACTGGGCATCGTGGAATCAGTTGATGTGCTTAGCACAAACGTCTGATGGTCCTGTGGACTCAACACTTGACATTTCTATCTGTAAGATACCACTGGCAGAGATTCTAAGAGCCAATGAACAGGAATGGAAATCAAATCTTTTTCTCAGCATTCGATGTTTTCATCAAAATACACATTCATGGTTGTGACCTGCGCCACTCATCGACAGGCACGAAAAGCTGCTCCGGCCATTGTATTCATCGATGAGATTGATGCCGTGGGGCGCATTCGTGGAGGCGCCATGGGCAACGATGAGCGTGACCAGACTGTAAACCAGCTGCTGTCCGAGCTCGATGGCTTCAACAGCAAGGATGCAGACATCGTGGTGATGGCCGCCACCAATCGGAGGGATGTTTTGGACCCTGCACTCATCCGTGCTGGGCGATTCGACAGGATCATATATGTGCCCCTGCCCGATTTCAACGGCCGCATTGAGATTCTTCAGGTGTGGGGGGACTGAAGCACCTTGCCATCCATTGCAACAACTCGCACAATATTGCCGATTCTCTTTGTGGAAGAGCTGGTATGGTTTCAAAGCACAAGAGAGCTTGATGGATCCTTGTGCTGTTTTGTCTGTGACTGGGTGCCACGTTGTGAGGCATGTTTCTTTGTCGTGCAAGGCAATTCCCCCTATCCTATTTGAACAAGGGGAAATGGACGAATTAGCAGTTAATCATATGTCAATTGCTTCAAAGCTGGATGTGTGGGTCCTCTGTGCAGGTGTATCTCAAACAGCATCCCACTACAGGTGACATCGACTTGCGAGAAATAGCCTTCGAGACACAGCGCTTCAGTGGAGCTGGCATTGCCAATCTTGTCAATGCGGCAGCCATAATGGCGGGCAAGGCCAACAGCGGTACCATCCGCCACAAAGACTTGCTTGCGGTCAGTCGCAGCCCTGTCTCTGCGGATTGCTGTGGGCAAAAATAGCAAATGACAACAATAATGGAAGTAGCGGCATAGGACAGGTGCCTGTTGTCACCCTTGATGCAATTTTGCGCACAGCCCGCTTGCAAGGATTGGAAACTTGTGCTGAACAGCTGCAAGCACTTTCTTAGGGGATCACATCTGACCAAATATGCTGCCACATATTTTGTCCATGGCTTCCTGTTAAATGTACTGGATGCTAAACCATAAACCTAAAACCAAAGTACTAGAAGGACTACACTTTAAGCATCATTTGTATACTTGCCGTTGTGGTCAGCGCACTCAATGAGTCCATTCCTGTGACTCCACTTGTACAGGGCTCCAATGCTGCCACACTGGCAAAAGGGCTTTGTCATCTTGCAAATCTTTTGAGTGGAACTCATTTTCTCCATAAATGTGCCGATTGACACTGGTGTCCTGCTTTTGTTTTCTTCGCTTGCTGTGTGTCCCATAGTCGCATTGTGAATTTTGTGCCACTTTGAGTCAGGAATTTCGGTACCTTCTGGCAGGCTTTGGCCTACGAGCGCCTTGGCCCAGACAGGCAGCCCTATGAGGGCGCCCGGCAGAAGCGGCTGGCAGTCCAAGAAGCCGCCACCTGCCTGGTCGCAACACTGATGCCAGCCATCGAGCCAGTCGTCCACGTCACCATCATCCCTCGGGAAAAGTACCCGATGGGTCAGACAGTCCTCAAGGTGAGAAGGCGTTCCAAAAATGTGTACACACATAAGGGAACTTTGACATCCCTTGTAACTCTTGAGCACATGTCTTGTAGCAGCCAACTACACATTTGATTGTGCCATACAGTTTGTTCCTGCTAGTTTGCTTCAGTATCAGAGGGGATTTGTTAGTTGTCTTCTTTCTTTGTTCTCTTGGTCTGTATGTTCAGATAATGTGTGTTGTGCCACTCGCCTGCTCCTGGTTCCAGTCATGAAGTGTTGGGCAAATCTGCTGGAGTCTGCTGTAACTTTTTGCTCGGGATGATAGTACAAAGTGAAAAGGAGGTGCATTTTCCTGTGCTGCGGACAACTGTGGCAACACAGAGAGTCAAACCATGTTTGTGCACTGGTGGCATGTGCCCATTTTTTATCGCGTTTCTCTTTTCTGTTGCCATGAATCCCCCCTCCCAGTGAGCAAGTCTTTGCATTAAGAGAACTTCATTTCTCTTATCCTCTTTTTTCCTTCACCTGTTCTCATATTTTGCATGCTATGGCATCTTGCTGCTGCTGTGCACCTTGGCAAATGTTTGTTCCTTGTTGTTTTTGATTTCTTCCTATTTGTGTGTTTGGCTTTTTATGTGTTCTTTGGGGTATTGTTCTCTACCAAACTGCACCGCACGATTGTCACGCCAGACATTGCCGTCATCAGCATTCTGCTTGTGCTGTCAGCCACGAGCCCTTGGCAGACAATGCACCCTAAATCCCAGGACTAAACAACCAGAGAGCTGACAACGTCAGCAAAGGACTTTCAGCACAATGCATTCTACATATAGAGTCCTCTCCTACCCCAGCCCCTGCTACTCAAGATTGTATGTATGCAGCCTGTTGCAGTTGCCAGGCCACCACGATAAATGTAATCAAAATTTAATTGCAACTGGGGTTTTTGCTTCCACTCTTCAGAAGGTATTAATCAACAAGTGCATCAAATTTGAGATTCCATCTTCAATGTCACATTCAGAGTTTTGTTAATTTAATTTCAAATCCACTTTTCGGTGTCACTGAGTTTTGTTGACAAAGTCATTTAAACCATTTTCCACCGCCTCCCAGGTGAACGAGCAGCGCGAGCTGACCCAGCAGTTTACGCAGCGCTACCTTGAGGAACAGCTGCTGATGGTGCTTGCCGCACGTGCGGCCGAGGAGCTCGAGTTCGGCCCCGACGAGATGTCCACCATCAACCAGCGGAGGCTTGTGATGGCACGCCGCATCGTCCAGAAGCTGATGGTGTCCAGCGCGATAGACCCTCCAGAAGGGGTGGGCAACCGCACGCTGAGCAACCCCCGGCGCTATGGCCGGGTGCTGAAGCAGGTCGTGCTGCCCAGGGTGACGACTCAGACGTACGAGAACGTGGAGGCGGCGATGGAGAAGAGACTGAATGCGGCGTATGCGGAAGTGAAGGAGATGCTGGAGAGGAACCGGTGGGTGGGGTCAGGGGGCTCATTTGCTGGGTTTGAATCTTCGATCTTTTGAATCTTTTGAATTTGAACCTTCTGATTCTTCCCAATCTTTGATGTTGTTAGTTTCTTGTGGTCTTTTCATTGGTCGAAACTGCTTGTCAGAAGGTGGCAGCTGCACTGCCCTCTTGCCAGCAATGCGATTGCAGGCACAAGTCCATGTGGAGTTGGGTGATCGTGACCTGGGGCCTGTGCCTGCCTGAATGCGAAAATTCCTTGGCTTGTTGAACAGCACTCTGGCAGTCGCCACACTGTTTTGCAAAAATAGGCATAATGGAGGACACGAGTGTCCCAATGCCTATTTTTTCCAATGCTACCGTTGTGTGTGCATTGTCTCCATTGTGACCCCAACTGAGTGGGTACCATACAGCAGACCGAAATGGGCAGGAGCATAACTCACGCATGCCTAGACTCTATCCACAGGGGATGCCAGGAGCATGACATCACTGGCCTGTGCGGCTCATGTGCTTTCACTGCACATCAAAGAGTTGTATCTCTCGTTTTTGACTTTTGTGCAACCAACGCTGGCCCGTGAATGGTCTTGCAACTTTTCTGCTTTCTGTTTGGGACTGACCGGCATTAGACAGAGATGTAGAGTTGTTGCCACACTCTCTTTGCATCCTGATCAACAACGGAGGGCCGTGAGCTTTTCCAACAAGGAGACCCAGCTTGGCGTGGCAGTGATCCACAAGGGCGTTCAGTGCCACACCCTCAGTCGAAGCTGCCAATGGCCTTGTACTGTAGTTTGCGCATCTGGTTCCGTGCTTTGGCAGCACTTGCAGTGTCACGCGGCCTGCAGGTGGTTCGTGCATGCCACCACGGCTCAGTGCGATGCTGCATTTCTGTTCGCAGGAAAGCCCTTACTGCACTGATAGATTCCCTCGTGGAGAACAACCAGCTCACTGGCGAGCAGGTCCGCGAAATCATCGACAGGCATGCCGCAAAGTCGGACCTCAGGCGTCGCAGGGAGCAGGCCGCAGAGTTCCTGTGAGCCCCGCTTCAGCCATTCTTGTCGTGCCATTTGCTTGACGGACCGAATGACGTCGCCCTTTTCTCCGTGGGGCGATGGGAGATACGGGTGATGTGGTGATCTTACCTGAGGGGAGGGGCTTGCAGGCATTCTTGAGCGTGCCATTCTTATGTTTCATTCTTTCTGTTGGCCGTGTGCGAGTTAAGTGCTTTTCAGGGGCGGCGCTTGTCGACTCTTTGCCCTTGTGCAGAGCCCTGTGTTTGGCCTCCACGGTTGAGCGGGCGTTCGCCCTCAAACGCCGAATGACGTCCGCAGACATTCTACTCACCTGACGTGTCAAAGGGACATGTGCTTCGCTAGTATAAAGTTTCGCCGGCGAAAATCTGCGCTGCTTACACCATTCATCTCATAAGAATGTTTTTAAGTTTAGGCGCAAATAGCCTCAATCTGAACCGTTTGAATCGTTTAAATAATGTGGAATGATCAAAATTGCCGAAAAGGTGCGCTGCGTTGCAGCAGGTTCCATTCCCCTGTCTCAACCATGTGTTTATCCATCATCACCGTTGTCGGGGGACCAGCTGGTGCTTTGTGCAGATTTGAATCAGCCCTCGTCGGAGAAAGGTTGCGTATCCTGGATATACACATCCAGGATATGGCCACGTCCCTGGATTTGGCGCCCATATCGTATTCGACATCCTGGATATAGGGCCCTCCCATATCCTATTCCGTATCCAGGATGTGCAACTCTTTTCCGACGCTGCTCGCGCGCCTCAACTACACCAAAGTACAGGAAGAACACACCAATAAGGCGCTCTCTCACTAGAGCATGTACTGTGTACATTTTCCCAGCAGGCTTCCCCAGCCACCCCCTGGTGCCACAATTCACCGGCGCATCACAATTCGCACACAACGTGGGCGTCGGCGCTGCCGCGAAGGCCATGTTCTCTATGCTTCAATTCATTCTCACAAGCACCATGAAGACCAGGCGCAGTTACTTTCAAAGTGAAGTGAGATCCCCGCAGAAAAAGGGAAAATGAGCTGGCAGCAAAAAGAAGGAATCCAGTCACCCCGCCCTCGTTCTGCCTCCCAATACCCATCCTCCAGCATCTACTGCCCCATGGAATCGCGCGAGGCAGGCGAGCAGGCATGGCATCTGCCAACGCGCATCGTAGGCGCCATAATCGGCGCTGAACCACCACGCTCCACATCCGCCAGCTGCAAACCACATGCTGTTTGGCACATGTAACTCTATGCCATACCTTGTTTTGCAGCAAAGATCACGACCTGCATGGGCTTGCCCGAAGTTTGTCACGACGCCAGCGCTGGAATCCCCGACTTATTTGCACAACGCGGCGGCTGAAAAGACAGAATACCCCACACGCATCCCACACACGCCTTCGTCGTTTGGGCACCCTTGATTGGCTTGCAAAAGCTGTCTTTGCACCGCAGCCTTTGTCACCCCTCCGATTCTTGCACACGTGTCCTGTCCACCAGTTTTCGATGGTGCCGAAAGATGACCTGCAGCTCGGGAGGGCCAAATCCACCGCAATGCGCAGTCTGCCGTGGCTCAACGCAAACTCCACGTGCAAGGCTTGCAGGGCGCACGTCGTCACAGTCTTCCCAAGCGCAGCACTGCTGCCCATCCACAGGCTTTGGGCGCTTTTAACACTATTGCCGGAATGTACGGCACAACGCTCTGTACTTTGTAGTGCTTAGCTTGCCATTTCTTCCCTGACACGGCGTTTTCCCCTTGTTGTGGTCCGCTGTCAGCGCACAGAGCTCACAGGCCGGTCAACTCTCAAGAATGTCTGTCTTGAGCTTTGATCCGGCCATGGGCACTCTGTGAACGATCCACTGTGGAGATTGGGTGTCCCGTCATTGTCTTTCAACCGAAAGGGCCTGTTCCGGTCCTGGGAGTGGTGCCATCGATGGAGATTTGAGCCATCTCCCATCCATGCATGGCTGTTTTGAGCTTTGAGTCGGCCGACGGAATCCTGGGAGCAATCCACAGTGGAGGCTGGGAATGCCCCCCGTTGTCTTTCAAGCAAAAGGGCCTGTCCCGCCCCCAAGGTGCAGATGCCATCAATTGAGATTTGAGCGCTGCTGCCGCCATTCCTGCCGCCTTGGAGACTTCCTCGAGGGTCTTCAAGACTTGGAAACATAATTCGCACAGCGTGCACTCAGGAGTGGTGGGTAGGGGTAAGGGTGGGTGAATTGGGGTGGGGTGGGGTGGGGTGGGGTGGGGTGGGGTGGGGTGGGGTGGGGGTGGGCACGTAGCACCACAGGGTTCCCATTCTCTGGGACGGAGTTTCTCCCGTCACAAGGGTATGATGAATTGGCGGCTTGGGAACAGTCTGCAGACCAAGAGCGGCAGAAGTAGCAAAGCGGCCAGCAGCAGGGACACGAGAGCGGCGTTGGTGCCATCGACGGAGCGAAGCACAATCACCTTGGCCAGCCACACAAGCAGCGGGAAAATCGCCAGCCTCCTGTACTTGAACTGCATTGCTCTGGGGCTGGTGCCTCTGGGGGCGAAGCTCCTGATAGGAAGTTAGAGTCCGTCAATGAAATAATGCTCTTGAAAAATTCATCAGCACTGAGCATTTGCAGTACTTTATTGTACCAGTTTTCTCTTGCAATATCTTGGTGCTCGACACTGCTCCTTCATTCGATGCGGCAAAGTGGGTTTGCTGACTCAATGTTGACCCAACGCTTAATTTGCGACACTTTGGCTTGATCAGTGAGCAGCGCAGAAGGGGATTCCAGTGAAGTGCCGAAATGCAAGTCGTGGTCGCAACATGCGCGACGCGGTGTGGAACGGCACAGGGAAAAGTATGGGATGCGGGGAGAGTATCTGAGACGAATGTTGCAAACAACGTAAAGTACATGAAATACAGAAAACAGAAAGCGGCACCAGGACCTTACAAGAACGCTGAATTCCGCCGTTGTTCACCATCGCCCGATTTGCAACAAGCGCTGTGGTGCATTTATATTGCGCAACCTGCACTTCCTTGTCACCCCCAACTGGCTTCCAACCGACTGCACAAATTGTGGATGAATGCATGCCGTTGTTGATACAGAAGCGCTCCATTTCACAGGCAGCTCTGCCAGCTGTGGGTAGCCCCAACTATACTCTCACCAGCACAGTACTGGAGATATCTCTTTTCTGCCAGGGCCCGTACACGTGTTTACGCTTACGTTTTACGTTTACGTTTTTACGTTTACTTTTTTACGTTTACGTTTTACGTTTACGTTTTTACGTTTACGTTTTTATGTTGACGTCTTTACGTTCAGGTCTTTACATTTACGTCTTTACGTTTACGTCTTTACGTTTACGTCTTTACGTTTACGTCTTTAAGTTTACGTCTTTACGTTTACGTCTTTACGTTTACGTCTTTACATTTACGTTTTTTGCGCAAAAGCGTAAAACTGCAAAACAGACCATTTTTACGGCCATATTCAAGGCTCTTTGGGGTACCCAAACAGATAATTCGTATACAATGGCCATTCTACCGTCCCCTCGACCACCCGCAACACAACGTCCACCTAGTTCTTGCGGGGGCAAAGACGGTTTGTTTGTCCTTACAGAGGCAAAAACGGTGTTGAAAAAGGTCGGTTTCTGCCCACTCCAGAGCGTCTGGCTGCCACTTCCGGCTGCTTCAGTCCGAATGTTCTGTTTTTATGCACACCAAGTCAAAATTTACGTACTTTTAGTGTATTTATGTGTAAAAGGTAAATACTATTTCTATGCGTAAATACACATGAACACTCGGTGTCTACGCCGTAAAGACCAAGCCTGAGTGCAACTATAGAATTCACGGTTTTCTGTGGTCGCTGACCTTCTGTCCTTCTGGTGCCGCTGGTTGGTTCTGGTTCTGCTTGCAGTCTTGGAATTGCGCAGACTGCACTAATCTTGCCGTGAACGACGCAAACGGTTCAATGAGCCATGTTGCCTTACATTGAGCGCGCTGCTGTCGCATTTTGAATCTTTCAACAAACTGGTTGAAGTGGTGTACGTTGAACTAGAAAACGTATTGCACGATAATGTGCAAACCGTCTCTGCAGTTTCCACCGTAGCACTACTACACTAGTGGCATGTTGCATTTCTTGTCAGGCACTCCATCGATTGCCCATTGGTCGCATGGATGATCGCTCAGATGGCGTGGTCTAGGAGTTGACAAGTTTAGTACTTGTCACAATGCGGCGAGGTTCCCACAGACCCATCACTAGGAAAAAACGGGCCAAATAACACTTTTGCTAGCACACATAAAACACATTTCATCAAAGCTCTACACGCTAAGAACACAAAATAACACAAACCCGTAAACTTTGTACACGTTTGAACACGTGTTATTTTGCCCTTTTTTTCCTAGTGCATGCGGCTGTGCGCTTAAACGTCAGACACGCAGTGCATTAAGCCATCAAGCTGTTTGATTCCATCCGGATGCCTTCACAGTCATTTGCGCAGGGACGCTGCCCAAGGGACGGCAGGATGCACTGGTTGGAAATGCTGGAAGCACCACTTTGGTGACGGAAACTGTGGCGCCATTTCATGCTGTGTGATGCCATGGCATTCGCCCAAATTGGACCCCATGCTTGCAGTAGACGCTGCGATGCCACCCGCGACGACATTAGGATTCCATCAGCGAGGGCGTCTGTGGCCTCGCAATACGTCATGTGCTACACCGCCGCCTCAACGCAGCCAATGCATAAAGTGAAGTTACGGTGCTGTGCCGTTTGCCAGTGCAGTGGGGGCAAGGGTAACGTCATCGCGCCCTTGGACTACATAATGATTGCTGTGATGATACCGCGGGAGCCGCAACCCATGCCGCTGTTGGTAGCAGGCGACATGCCATATTGGCGACAGCAGCCAAAACGCGTTTGAATATGCCCTGAGCGCCGCTAGCTCTGCACACAGAGATGCGCCCAGGTGCCATTCGATTATGCTCAATGGCAAACAATTTGCCATTTGGGCATTGGGATTCCATGTTTGTCCTTGCTAAATTGCTGAAAACTGTGCATTA